GTTCTTTCGTTCTTTCGTTCTTTCGTTAGAGTGTATACCATATAAAATTTGCACTTTCAACTTTGCACTAGCATGTACAATTTTGATATTTACATTTTTCCATGGATATATGGTATGCATTCTAATAAAAATGTTCAAATCAAGTCATTTGTTTGGTTTTTTAGTTGTTTGTTGTATTTGTAAGGGCGACGATAGATATGTACTTACTTGTTCTATTTTCATATTTACAGCAATTCCATCTTTATCGTTAAATCAGTCCCTTTCAAACATACCTATGAATGAATCCCAAGAACTTCACATCAAATGTTCTGCGGTAGGAACTCCTATGCCAAACGTCACGTGGCAAAAAGTACAGGGTGATATTATTGACCAAGGCGTAGGAAGTGTGACACTCGATATTACAAATATTACAAGATATGACAGTGGGGAATACGAATGCTGTGCTATTAACAACCTGAACAAACCTCCATTTTGTAAGAGTATCTTGGTAACCGTCCAGTGTGAGTCTGTGCTTTTTCATAGAAATACCAATATATGTTGTTAAGTTTTTTAGCTAAAATGAAGGGGTGAGGGGCGCTGCAAGGTTTGTACCAATCAATATGATCACAATCAAGATCATTGAAACAGTGCAAACTGAAAATAAATAATTCACTCTCTTCACAGATGATCCGCAAGTAGATGTATTTCGGTCAAATGACACAGTTTCTTCATATAATGGTGGTAAAATCAGGATATACTGTTTGGCCCATGGCGTGCCCTCTCCTCTGTTCACGTGGTATTATCCCCGTAATCGATCAATAGCCACAGGATCTCATACTGTAACTGGTGTTGGTGTCTTGGAACTAGTAACCATAGACGCAGACAGCTATGGGTTGTACAAGTGTAAAGCTAAAAATTTGCTTGGTTATGATGAACACATTATTAGAGTTATTCAAACAGGTTTGAAGAACAATGATATATTATTAACATTAGACGGTTAAAGAAAAATAGATGGAAAGATAGATGGATGGTTGGATGGATGTATGGATGCATGTTTGGAATGATTCAGTCATAAACAATTAATGTCATCTATCACCAGACCATCCACCCTCTCTGAAGCCAAGTAGAAATCACCATGGAATAACGACATCATCCTCACAAACCACTACAGGTCAGATTTAACAATTAACAGCTGATGAGCCACTTTCTTAACTACTTCAGTTTAATTATTAACATTTGACTTGACATCCTATAACCATCATTCAAAGGTCATGAATCAAGAACCCAGCCTGGAGAGAGATCTTGCTCGACACTATTTATTCAAGGTTATGTCAATGTTACATATATAAGTATAAATAAATATATTACATATATTTTAATTTATTCATTTCTATACATTGACATTTTTTAAAATTATGATTTTGCTTTACCGCTACACCAAGTCTGCAGGCACATACTGTGCTTTACCTTTAAATCATTTTTTTCCCTGCTTTTATCAGGTCGTACATTTGCAACAGTTCATTTCATAATAACATCAATATCAATAGGTGTGAATATTATCATGGCGCTATTAGTGTGCTACATTTTCAAAAGGACTGGCTTCAAAGGTAAACACT